GGTGTTACTGAGACTGGACTATTTAGGACATGGTTTTACCCGAGGGAGGCTTCCAAAATAAGACCTTGGTACCCTGGAGGAATGAATACCACAGCCCAGGGAGTCTGAGCCGTTTATCAAAACACCGGCGTCACAGAATGTACAGTTTTGTTCCCCTCTCTAAAACGGGTCAGGCTTGCCGGTCAGATAGAGTCTGGTGGGACCCGCCAGGGTGGGACCGTTAATCACCCTTCAGGTCTGGAACTGAACTCACCTCCATGTTAGGATAATCAGCCATTTCGATCAAAAGGGCAGCATGTGCCCCAGGACAAAATTCGGAGGGTTAGGACAGGAGGAGGAAGGGAATCGGGAAACACAGAGAGGAAATGGGATAAGAGATGTTCCGCTGAGGGGATCGCAAAGGGAGAGTTAAAACAAAACGTATATGTAAGTTGTCCGTGAAACGGTTCATCTGTTCTATAAACCTTCACTAATTCATAATTTTTTTTTAAGTTTACAAAATTATTTTTGGTCATTAATATGTGCATAGGTTCAAAACATACCATATAAAAAACAAACTCATGGCCATCCAGTTGGCTCTGACTCATCGTAGACATAAATTCGACCACCATCCACCTGAGCTCACCAGAAACACTGACGAGCCCTACTCACCAGGGCACCCGGCGATCCTTCCACACCAGGAGGGCCTGGGTCACCTTTTCCTCCAAGCCAGCCAGGGAGTCCCATGTCGCCTTTACTACCCTGCATCCCAGGGAGTCCGGGGGGGCCGGGGGGGCCCATGGGACCAGGCTCACAGGCACAAAGCCCTTCGTTTCCTAGGCAGGAGAGAAGCATGAAGCTCCGTCATGTCTTTTGAATAAAATTCACAATAAGGAGTTTACCATAGTCATAACCAATCTTTAAGGGGAGTGGGGGTTACAGGGACCTAATGTGAATGATTCTTATTAAGCGACTGATAATTTGCAATGTGGGGCTTGGCTCTGTCTACCAGGGGGCAGTCGATAAAGGGTTTCTAGACAAATAAAGTGTTTTGTTTCTTAATAAATCCATTCTGAGAAATTCTTGGGCAGAAATGTATATTTAATTTTACTGAAGGGCTTGAAAAATAAAGTCTCCTATGTTTTACACATTTTTAAGTTTCTTATTTTGCTTTTAGCAAAGAAACACCAACAAAAATGGAGTCTAAAGTAAATTAGGTTGGAACAGAGACTCTGAACCATTAAAGTAACAAAACCAGCTGTGGACAAGGATTATTTATCATCTTCCAGGTTAAGGTCAGCAGTTCAAACCCCCACACAGCAGCTCTGGGGAAAAGGAGGTGACCCTGTTTCAGTAATGACTCAAACAAATCACTCCTTGCCGTCATGTCAATTTTGACTCCTGGGGACCCTACCGGACAGAGCAGAACTACCCCACAGTGTTTCTGCGGCTGTCATCTTGAGAAGCAGACTGCTCATCTTCCAGTAGTTTCTAAGGCATGGAGGTTATCGCCTTGGACACCCCTGGAGCAACTCTCCTCTGCCTTAGCAGGTTGCTATGAGCTGGAATCTACTCAAGAGCCCACAACAATGACATCCGCCTGACTAGGGCCATCAAAGAGGAGTCAGACGGGAACCTTGATGTAGATGGTGGGCTTTAGTAAATAATGATGTGTCCACATTGGTCGATCAATTGAGCCAACTATACACAGGGATGGAAGATGTCATCCAATGGAAAAACCATGACAAAATGGAGAAGGGGTAGCCTACCTGTAGTTTCTACATCATTTTTATGAAACAAAAAACTGCTATATAAAATAAAGTCTTCTTTATTTTATTAAGAGGCTAAACAATGTAGAGTGAGAAAGTAATACGATGATGGGCATATGATGCTTATCATCACATTGGGTCAATCTGCTGCGTGAGACGTCTTTAAAGTGCTGAAAAGCAGGAAGGTCACTTTGAGGACTAAGGTGCGCCTGACCCAGGCCATGGTATTTTCTCTTGTCTCATATGCATGTGAAAGTTGAACATTGAATAAGGAAGACCAAAGAGGAATTGGTGTGTTTGAATCATGGACTGCCAAAAGAATAAATATGTTTTGGAAGAAGTACAGCTAGAATGCTCCTTAGCGCCAAGGATGACAACCCTTCATCTCACAGGCTTTGGATATGTTCTCAGGAGAGACCAGTCTCTGTGGGAAAGTAGAGGGGCAAAAAAAAAAAAAAGGATAAATAAAATAAAGTGGATTGACACAGTGGGCTCAAACAAGAACAACTGTGAGGATGGCACGTGGCCAGGTGATGTTTTGCTCTGTTGTCCATGAGGTTGCTGTGAACCGGAACTGCCTCAGTGGCGCCTTAACTGCAAAGGAGACCCCACAGAGAGAGACTGAGGTAAAATACCAACCCTACCCCGAGTCTGCTGTTATCAAAGACTCATGAGGACCTGGTGGAAGATGTCAGTCTTCTGAGACAAACTCAATAGCACCTGGGCGACTCCTTTAGTGGCGTTAGAGGAGGATTTGCGTTTTCTGAGGAGACTTACCCAGATCATAAGCATATAGAGCTGCTGCTAGGGGCCACGGCGGTGGACAACTCTTCCAGATCTGCCACATCGCTCATTTTGTCACACGCCAAACCCACCCCATGTCACTGCCATCTAGAAATCCCACCCCGATGCCGACTTGCCTTTTTCTCCTTTGCAGCCTCTTCCTCCGGGAGGACCCACCTTGCCTTTCAGTCCTTGTGGTCCAGGGTATCCAGCACGACAATATACCACTTTACGGTGGACAGAGAGAATCCCATTATTGTTATTGTTATATTATTATTGTTATTATTATTTAGGACTGTCTTCTCTAGGATAAGTCCCAGTGGCTCTCATAGCTACTTCATCTTCCCTACATTCCCTTCTTCCCCTCTGTCTACTTTTGTTCCTTTCCTGTGATCTTCCTGTCTGATCTGATCTCTGATCATCTCCAGAAACAGACCACACACGTGGGCCCTGCCACGCAGCTGCTGCCATAACTGCTTATAGCGCCATTCCTCCGCTGCGTTGATGGAATTCCATGGCGGTGCAGAGCAAAGCCATGGGACACAAAGCCAAGAAGCAAAACCCGTTTTTAAAAGACCACCAGTCTAGGTCTGCCTTGAAGCTTTGAACTAATGAGGACAGCCTCCATCGGGGCATTTTACAAGCCAAATTCCAGAGACTTCTGTGATGGGAGACAAAACACAAAGCACAGATCCAACCCTGTCTCCAAAATCTCATGAAAAACAACCAACCAACCAAACAAACAAACAAACACGACCCAACAGAAAATGGGTAAACTACAATGATCGAAGCGCCAGGACAAAGGGACAGGGGAAAGACGCAATAGGAGCAAGCAGCATCTTCGAAAGTCCTGCAGACCTCGGGGAGCTGGGTGCTAACCCGGCTGTGGGACCAGGGATGCTTTGCACACCAGCAGCTGTCTCTTCTCTTAATTGCCCTCTCCGACTGTCCGCCTGTCTGCATCACTAGCTCTTCATTGTTCTAGCGGGGCATTATTTTCAGACTCCCGGAAGACTACCCTTTGCACTTGAACTCCCAACCAAGTCATTCCACAGGCCTCCGCTGACATACCAGTTCAAGCTCAATTTACTTATTTGTAAAGAGAATTTCATGACTCACTTTGCTCATGACACATTATACACATTACATCACATAAATATTACATACATGGCAACCTCCACGGCACCATACATGCTAAGGAATATGAAACATGAGGCTCATGTCACCTTCTGATCCTGGAGGTCCCTGTATCCCTGGTGCGCCGGGCAAGCCAGGGGGTCCTGGGTTCCCTGGTTTCCCTGGAACTGAGTCAGCTCTCGCAGGAACACCGGCTGTCCCCGGAAGCCCCGGATAACCGGGAAACCCTTGGGGGCCAGGGGGTCCCATCATACCTCCAAGAGAAACCAATAATGAAAATCACACAGACTATGACTAAAGTCCGTGGCCTTCCGTAGACCACAGAACTCATTTCTGTTGTTTGCTTTTAACAGTTTTCTTGCCATATAATGCACATATCATGCGATTCGATAGTTCAGTCACACTAAGAAGGGTCATACAGTCATCCCCATAATCAAGTTTGGACCGTTTTCTTCTTTCTTGTCCTCCTGATATTAGAGACCCGTTTCTTCCCCCTCCCGCCCCCGATCTCCCCGGCCATATGCCCAAGGAACCATTATTCCAGTTACCATCTCTATAGATTTACCTACCTTGGATTTCATATACAGGAAAAACATACAAAACAACAATAACCAAGCAAAGCAGAGAAAACCTTGACTGAAAAGCAACCAGAAAATACTTATTAGGAGAGCAAGCCTACAATGGCTCAAGAGGGAGATGATGTTACCCTGACAGCATCTGCAGTGACGCACCTCCCAGTGCGCTGCACGGCAGCTGGACCACGGCCCCTCTCACTGCTGAGCGTGTCCAGGGATCTGGTGTGACCTTATCTCAGTGTCGTAGGGCATCAAGTGGAGGGTCTTCTCCCTGTCCCCCCTTCTGGAAGGAGTGACCCCAGCTGAGGTGATGCCTCTTCTTTGAGGTGGTTCTTAAGAAGAGCATATAAGGGGGTTCTATGGAGCCTATAAGGGGGTTCCTGGAGCCTACATGTAGGATTCCTGGACACTAGGCAGGCTGTGTACCCCATTGTTTGGGAAGACCGATCAACAGTTTATCTATTCTAAGAGCAGAAAACTGCCTAGTCTATAGTAGTGGGCTTTGCCATTTTGTGATTGACAGACTGCACTCAGCATAATGGCTCCAGGTCTTCCCATTCCATTCGGTAGTTCATGCTTTCCTCACTGTCTTTCGGGGTGCATAGTATCCATTGTGTGCATGTTACCATGGTTTCTTTATCCAGTCTTCCCCTGTTGGGCACATGGGCTGCTTCCAGTTTCTTGCTATTGTGAACTGCGCTGCCGTAAACATGGGTGAGCACGCACTGCATGTTTTGTCTCATTTCTTTGGGGGAGGTGCCTAATATTGGTATCGCTGCATCGTATGGGATTGGATTATGGTGCTGGCGATGAACATTGAAAGTACCAGAGACTGAAAAAGAACAAGCAAATCCATCTTGGAAGAAGTATGGCCAGAGTGGTTGTATGTCCCAGTCCGCCAGTAGTGTATAGAAATTCCATTTTCTCCACATCCTCCCCAGCACTTGTTGTTTTCTGGTTTTGTTTTGTTTTTTAAAGGGGGCTATCATTGTGAGTGTAAGGTGGTATCTCACTGAAGTTTTAATTTGCATCTCCCCGTGATCATGGGCATTTTTCATGTGTTTCTCAGCCACTTCAGTGTCACTTTAGCTGAACTACCTGTTTCTGTCTTTTGCACATTTTTTAAATAGGTCATTTGTGCTTGAATTATTTTGTGGGTAGGGAAAGAGCTGGTGTTTTAAGGTTGTTTGTTAACCATTTCCCCTCCTTAATTTAGGCATTTTTATTTCTGTGTTTCACCTAGGAGACAATTTAGCTTGGGGCCTGGTGTTGACTTGAATTTAACAGCAAGAAGAGCCGCCCAGGAGGCTGGAGAAGGGAATGGAACACTAACTCTAGCAGCAGTTTCTAAAGGCACCTGTGTGTGATAATCTTATGGAAAGCCTGTTACAGATACCTACTTCTTAGACTACTCTGGAGATGTTCTTGTTAGGCGCTGTTGAGCAGCTTCCAACTCTCCGCAACCCTATACACACCCGAGCACAACCCCGCCGCCCGGTCTGTGCCATCCTCACCATCGGTCTTTGCTTGAGCCCGTTGTGGCAGCCACTGTGCCCGTCAGTCTCATTGAGGAGTTTTGTTCTTTTACGCAGCATGGCACCCTATTTTATCCAGCCTGACGTCTTCCTCTGGGGACTGGTCCCTCCTGATGACATGCCCAAAGTTGGCGAGATCCAGCCTTGCATCCTTCATCATAAGGCCTATTTTAGGGTGCAGGTAAAAGGACCCCACTGGTGCTCTTCGGTAAGCACTGTCCTATCCTGCTACCCACAAGCTCAGTGACTGAAACTCACAAACCACTCCAAGGGAGAAGAATGAGGCAGCATCAGGTCCTTTAAGGAGGGGCAGTCTTGGAAACGCTACTAAGATTGCTGTGAGTTGGCATTCACTCGATGGCAGTGGTTTGTGTTTGTTGTTGTAAGGTGAGAGTGGTGAGTACTTTGGGCAGGTTATCAGGAGGGACCAGTCCCTGGAGAGGGATGTCATACATGGTAAAGTAGAGGGGCAGCAAAAAGAAGGAGACCCTCAATGAGATGGACGGATGTGACCTGGACAATGAGCTCACACACAGTAATGATGGCAAGGATGGCGCAGGACCGGACAGCGCTGGG